GTAGCAAGCTGAGTAAGACACATCAGATGCCAAAAATTTAAAATTAAGTGTTCTTGCATTTTCAGTTTTTCTTGTGTACAGACATTTGTTATATTGTTCCCTACCTTGCCTACATATATTTGATTCCATTGATAAAAGAATTCAGTCTGAAGGATGAATGCATCAAATAGGGTTTTCTCCATTTTTGTCATTCAATCAGCTACCAGGATATATATATATATAAAAAATTTCCTTTTTAAATGCCACATCTCTTCAGGACATAAACAAACATGGCTTTCCAATGATTGGTTATCTGAATTGCCATGTCTTCTTTGAGAGTGGAATGGTTTTCTCTTCTCCAGGATTTAGAATCTCTTAAAAGGTTATTGTTACCCAAAGTTAGAGAGCCTAGTCTACACAGCTATTTAACTCATAGCTGGGGTGGTAGCGTTGGGCAGTGTAAAGAGATTCATGCCCTTTCTTCAAGGGTACTAGTATGAAAGTGAATACAACAGACTAGGCTGGAATTTGAACTGAAATACCCAAATTAATTTTCTTAAAAGTAGAAATATGTTATGCTAACCCAAGAAGAGATTCTGAAATAAATTCTGATGACAACTTCAGCACCCCTCATACATAGCTAACAGGTGCTACCACCAGCCCCTGAAATATGAAACCAGTTATGAAAAGGAAAGTGTTGGAAAATCAGTTATTCAATACTACTTTCCAACAATAGAACAGAAGTCATCAAATTTGAAATTCAATGTAGGTTTGACTATGAAGGAACATGACTAACAAAGATATGAAACACTGGACCAAATTTTTGGAAGAGCTTTATATGGATTAGACAACATTTGCTAAGAATACTTCAAGGGTGTTAAGGAAACCTCTAATAAATGTCTTATTAGACCTTTTCAACTGTATACCAATCATGGGTACTATATTTCAAGCTTTTAAGGAAGCATTTAGTTTTTGTCTTGAAGGCTCTATCAATCAATTAGCCTATTGAGACATGTCTATAAGTTGCCTATCAATCAAGCAGGACTATTGAACAAATAATTGCTTTAGAATAAATTATTGAAAAGTCTATAGAGTTTAACAATCCAGTCTACATAAGCCGTTATTGATTTCATTAAAGCATTCGATAGTATCAAACTTCTCTGGAAACTTCAGGAAAACTCTATGAAATACATTTAAAAAAAATACTACTATGATAACCAAATTTATATGTTATAAAAAAACAGACATTTAAATATCTCAACTATATATATATCTTTATGTTCTTTATCATTTGATATTGTTTTTTAATAATCAATTTTGAAATCCAAATTCTGGTTTTTCTAGTGTTGGTTATCTTCTTTAGAACTTAAGCTACAGTGATTACATTACTGCCATAAATGGATCAAACTGTTCTAGCTGAATTTAAATTTTTTTTAATGTTTAAAAAAAAAAATGCCCTTTTATATAAAATATCCTTATAATTTAAAAAATAAACCTCCCATCACTAGAACATCTTTTCTACTATCACAGGAAAATTGATTTTCGTTCAAAATAAAATTTAATAATTTTGATTTCCCCTGGGATGTTGTTCAGGAAATCCCTGTCCCCAAATTTGCTTCTTCATTTCATCCTGGGTTAAAGCTGGAATCAAAATCTTCAATATCCCCTCAAGGAAATTTAAGGTGAAGTTCCATTCTATTTCTTGGTAAAAGGCCACCATTATTATAAGGATTACCATAAGACTGCAATAGATGTCTCTTTGCCTCCGCCAAAAAATGAAGACAAGCGTTTGTTAAAAACTAAGCTAAGTCAATATTGTCTGTTTGGATGAAGGAGCATTTGCATCTCGCAAATTTGGCTCCAAAGATTATTGGCAGCTCTGCAAGAGTGTCCTGAACAATAGAAAACCCTCCATATATATTTATTCAACCAGTTCAAGGTCTTGATATCCTCTACCGATAAGGCTGAATGCTTTTTTTTTTAAAACCAATTTCATTTAATTCAACACTCAACTCCTCCGGGTACCCATAAGACTTCCCTGAAATTTAAAAACAGGCCCTATTGAAATTTACACATAACCCCGTCATTGGTATTGGGCATTATCTCCAACTTAGACCTCCACAAGGCTAGTGGTGGAGATGGCATACCAGCCATTGTCTTGAAGAAATGCATTTGAGCTAGCGCCCGCCCTCTCTAAACTGTATAATTACTGCCTCAAGGAATCCTGTTTTTTGACTGCTGGAAGTCCTCATCCATTGTTCCTGTCTTTAAGAACTCTGGAAACCCCTCTAATATACCATTTATCCTATTAGTCTCCCTACCCCTCTTCGGCAAATTCTTGAAGCCCTAATCAATGCAAATAAAGTGGTTAACCACCTTACATCCCATGATCTGCTCTCAGACAAGCAATATGGTTTCCGCTACGCCCGATCTACAGCTGATGTGCTAACGGCCATCACTGAAACTGTCTACCAAGCCCTTCAAAATCATGGTGAGGCTCATGCCGTGGCCCTAGACACCTCCAAAGCGTTTGATAGGGTTTGGCATGCCTGCCTTCTTCGTAAGCTCCAGGGTTATGGTATTACAGGTCGATTGTTTGATTTAATACAATCATTCCTGTCAAACCGTGAATTGAAGGTTGTTCTCAACGGATTCTCCTCCAGTTCCTATCCCACTCTATTCCTTATTTTCATCAACGACCTTCCTGATGCAATAGATTCCCAAGTTGGCATCTACGCGGACGACACTACAATTTACTCCTGCCTCAAAAACAAATCTAGTGTCGCTGACAAAACTAACCTGGCCGTGCGTCTTGAAATGGACCTCTAATCGGTTGTTAATTGGGGCAAGAATTGGCTGGTCAACTTTAACGCCTCAAAAACTAAATTACTGTCTATTAATCACCATAGAGATCCTTCCCTGCCCCTGCATTAGAATGTCTGATAGTCAACTTCTTGAGAGCAACTCCCTGCGTCTGCTCGGTCTCATGTTGACTGCTGACCTGAGATGGAACAAATACATTGAGTCAATTGCTTCTTCTACCGCGAGGAAAGTTGGCTCTCTGTGCCGCGCCAGGAAATTTTTCTCCCCGGAATCGATACTTCAAATATACAAATCAACCATTCGCCCTTGCATGGAGTATTGCTGCCATATATGGTCTGGGGCACCTTCTGTTTACCTCAGAGTTCTTGACAAGATCCAGAGACGGATATGTAATATAATTGGCCCTGATCTGGCATCTTGTCTACAGTCACTCTCTCACAGACGCACTGTCGCCTCTCTCTGTCTTTTCTACAAATACTTTCATGGTAATTGCTCCGATGAGCTGCTTTCACTGGTTCCCAGACTCCATGAATTCAAGCGCCCTACGAGGCTGGCATCCCGCTCCCACCCTTACACTGTAGAAACTTTTAAATGTAGCCGTCTCTTCTACTCCAATAGCTTCATACCTCGCACCTCTCGCCTGTGGAACACCCTACCCAATTACTGTTTCCCTGAGAGCTATAATCTCCAACTATTCAAATGTAATGTCAATCGACACCTCCAGTTACCTTGATCTACTCACTATCCCTCTCCTCATCCTTTCTTCTATCACTCCTATCTGCTCTTGCTCCAAATCTTCTGCAACCCCCTGCATCCTAGTGTCTTCACGCCTCGCTCAGGGCATAATGCTTAAAAAAAAAAAAAAAGAAAAAAGTCAATTAAACATGTTTTGGAATTCCTTAAACTGAAGCCAGAGGTTGTCATACAAAAAAGATGGGATAGTTGCTGTTCAACATAAGAGTGGCTTAGGATGAGTTGCCTTTCAGAAGAATAAAGAACTACTTAATATTCAATTGGATACCTTATAGCATCAAAAATAAGATCTGTAAGACCTACATATTGCCACTTTATGGAGTCAAATATCAAATCATGGATTATCAGATCAAAAATTGAAGAGTTTTTGTTTGTTTTTTTTGAGATAAGCAAAGCAAAGTGTCATATAAAATGTGCTAAATGTCTCTTCAAAATTTGCTTAGGGCTGTATAAAAATTATACAAAAAAACTAAACCAAAAATTGGTAAGTAACAAAAATGATATCACAACAATGTGCATGAATGGTCTGGTCTTGATCTAATAGCATTAAATATGACTCAAAGCTCTTTAGAGAGAACTATCTCATATTTACCAAAGGTAAAGATAATAATTAAAAAGTGTTATGGTCACTTTTCTTAAGGGTATCATTTTATTTGAGGAACAGATAGAAAAAGCCATACATAAATTGCTGAAAATAAGAAAGCAATGAAATATTTTTAACAAAATATATATACCATGTGTTATAGACAATTTGTTTACTTTCAACCATGACTGAGATTAATATGTAAGATGAAAAGGAGAGGATTTTTTATTGAATAATTATTTGATGCAAGGATATTGTGTATATTTGTTTTGTTTTAAATAAATTACATCAACTTTGAACAAAAGATTTTTACATAAGAACAAGATTGATTAAAAAAAAAATAAATCATTTAATATCACTTAGGATTTCAGAAAAAATTCTGGGTTGTAATTTATTTCCAGATAATGCATGCATATTAATTTACAGTCAAGTTGAAATGCAAATTAGTCATTTATACAATGTTCAGAATTATTTTTTTTTATTTAGGAAAGGAAAAGAGTTAAATATGTATGCATTGAATTTTATTTCATTGGAAAATCTTGCCCATTTTTAGTTAAAAAGTAAGCTTAAATTAACAAAATTATTAAAATTCATAATCAATATATAAGTTGTGAAAGAAGGACAATAGAGTTAAATTGGTAGAAAGTTTTGCTTCTTTCACTCAGTCTTAAGATGTAAACTACAGTAGTAAAAGCTGATTACCTTCTCATTTACTTTGTTCAATTGTATTTAAGTTTCTTACATTAATGTTGATAGAATCTGATGTCTTTTTATCTCATGCTAAACATATTTGAGTACAAGCTTTATTAAAGATTTTCTTTGAAATTGAAAGTTTTTTAATTAGGAAGAAAGAGCAACTTGTTTAGTTTTTTTTTTTTTTACATCTCTGCAGTGAATCTGTTGGACACCAATGGGATTTGCCTGGACCCTGAAAAATATCAGAAAAAGCCACTGTAATTTATCAAGAGTACACTGCAAATATCAGGTGTAACAGCAAAATTATCCAATTGTTAGATTAAAGTCTGAACCATTGTATCTTAGAAATGATTAAAGATATCTATTGGAGTCTGCTTTGAGCAATAAGAATATATAATTACTATCCAAGCTTAACAGAAGAATCATGATGAAATCGATCATAAACAAAAATGACATGTTCATCATTAATTAATCATAGTTAAGGATTGGAAGCTAATGAAGGATTGAAATAAAGTTCAGATATATATATATTATTCCAGGATCATTTTCCAACTTATTCAAGATGATCTTCACCCTCTTTAATCTAACATTCTGTCCTGGGTTACAAGGTTCTTCACATGTTTCATATACAATTTCTTTTTCAAGTCTTTTTTCACTACTTCTTGGATTGTCATAGCTGAAACACCTCATGTGTCAAACATCTTATGAATTGAGTTGAATCTTTTCTAATTGATCTCTTTAGCTCTAAGTTGAAATTATGATCCCTCTTCATGTTGTGACCTCCTGATCCAGTTTTCCTCTCTACTGTTCCCTCTTTTTTTAAACTTATTCACTGTTCTCTTGATGGTTCTTGAATGGACTTTGAAGATGGAAACCAGAGTATGAATGTTGGTACCATTACTGAAGGGCTGAATGATCTTTTTCCTCTCACCATTGCTCAGTTGAGAAGAGAGTAGGGCTGACATAAAACGATTTTAACCTGTTTTCTTTCTAGCTGAATAACTCAAAAAGTTTTTTACTAAACGTCTTATCTGAAAACCTGGAACAAAGAAACTGAATTATTTAAGTGTTCTTTTTTTTTTTTTTTTTTTTTAGATATTAAATATTTTGCAGGATGGATAATTATGCAGTAACCTGATTTAGACAATTTTGCTGTTACATCTGGTATATACCTGAAAAAGATTGCAAATTCACCTCATAAAAAGCTACTTACTAAAATATTACTCTAGAATAAAACGATGCAAACAATGTCTTGGTAGAAGTGAACCAGTCAAAGCACAACCCATAATGCATATTCATCCAAGAAAAATATTGCTTAATGGGAATATTTGTGTAGTTCATATAGTTTTGCTATCAGTTCATGTCACAATTATAGCTGGTATCTATTGACAGCAATTAGTGTTTAGATACTGATCAAACATCTTCCAAGCAATCACAGTTACATCTGATGTATTAGAGTTTTATTTGAAGGTTGAAGACCTTGAGTGAGGAAAAAATTTTCTTCTCCAGATTACTATTTCAGAGTTTTCAGAACCATCGTGATGGACATGTTCTTAATACAAAAAACAAAAAATTATATTATGAAAAGTGAATCTTCTAAAACTTATATTAATAAATAAATTAGATGTGAGATTTCTTCTTATACTAAATTTGGACATAACATATAGCTGACCTGAGATGTTAAATGCTAAAAGAAATATAAGATTTGACCCTCTATTAAGAGTTATTCTTATAATTACCTTAAAAGATACTACAGACAAATAATCAGTAATTTCTACACAAAGAAAAAAGTGTGAGCATTTGAGTGATTAGAACGAGTTTACCTGTGCCATAAAAAGGGGGTAAAATTTAAATATATTTTTCTAATTATAATAATGTAACTACGCTTTTAGAGTTTCAATTTCCAGTTCCATAAACATTTACGAGTTATCTACCTTCCACTGGTGCTGGCAATGCAAGGTAGATAACTAGTAGAGTAGTGATTCTCAACCAATTTTGCCCTCTGCACCCCATTTTACCATAAGTTAGGATGGCATTTCCCTCCCTACCTCCAAGATTGTCCGACTAAAAAGTTGCATTCCAAATATGCATATATTATTGAAAATCATCATTCTTTTCCCTATTAGTATGTATACATTTACATGGAATATTCTTGTAGTGGCAAACAAACATGAGCTAGCGAAAAGAAAATCCAGCATGAGCTCTTAGTTCCACAAACTGATACACATTGTGAGTTGTGTCACTGTTTGAACATTAACATTTTGAGTCCACCAATCTGTGGCACCAATTCCCCACCTAAAACCCTGAAATTCCTCTCTAGAGTGGGGAATTTTCCACTAGTTGACAACCCCTGTAGTAGAGTAAAAAGATATTCCAGAAAAAAAAACAAAAAACAAAAAACACTTGATATATTGCATAATATATATTAATCTATTTGAAGTAGTCCCTTAATTTTGATATCTATATTAAGTGCATCTCACCTATTCAATCCCTATGGGTAGATTCTTCTCTTTCACTGGCACTGATATCATGTATCAGCTAATTCTGTCTTGTATCACTATTTTTATTTTTATACTGAACCAGTGTATGACTTACTGCCTGACTCAGGAAAGGAACTTATGACTACCAAGTAACTGGAATTTGAAGCTGAATGTCTTCTTTCCATGTTTGGCTTGTACAACAAGGAAATAAAAAGTAACATCAGCCTGAATACTGAAAATCTATAATCCACAGAAAGAATATAGAATCAGACATAGCTGATGTGCTGGGGAAGGAAATAAGCAAACTGGAATTAAGTGAGAATAATAGAGGAAAAAAGTGAAAAATAAAATAACTAAAAGTGTCTAATATTCTAATTGTGTTAGCAGGACAAGCATAGAACTGAATACATTTGCAAATAATTTTGCAAAGAAATATCTCATATGACTAATCAGCAAAGGACAATATTAGGCTTCAGCTCCAAAATTCCATGACAAAATGGTCCTAAGAATTCAATCCCTGAATTAAGCATTGAAACTGACACTGAATGGGAAAAGTAAATGTGGCATAACAAAAACAAAGAGATTTGTTCCTTTTGGCCTCACACTCCACCGCTAACAGTTGCAGTTATCTGTAAAAGATTAAGAAGGGAAAGAGAGAAAGATATGACAAGAGAAAGTGGAAAAGCTCTTGTGTGTTGAGCTTGGCTTCTTCAGGTCAGAATTAATGACAAAAATGTGTTTACTGGATTGTATATTGGTTGCTCTTCAATAACTACCTGGTGTAAAAAATAAGGAAGTAAGTGAGCTGAAAACAGTGTTAGCTACTGAGATGACTTGTGAGGTTGGTGGGTAGTGACTATAGCTCAAAACCAGACCTCAGTGGTGAGAAACCAGGAGTAAGTAAAAGACAAACATGGAAGTTTGGTGGACGAGGTTTCAGGTGTCAAGATCCATGCATGATTACAAAGAACAGTTGGAGCCTTATCCAGACATGTTATATGTGGAGAAAAGGGGGCACATCATAAGATGTCCCCATAGAAATGGACAATGGACTGTGCCGGTGGCTACCTGTTTAACTCAATAGCAGTACATTACTGATCATTACCACCTACAGAACAGGGAAAGGCAAGAGTATAGGTGGACACTGGATGCGCCACCACCTTGGTGACTTTAGGGTTGGTGAAGTGTAGTGGGGATAATCATTAAAACTACTGAGGAGTTAAGTGTAGTGGAACTTTTAGTGCATAAGGTATGACTGGGGGTGAAAGCCCTGGTATTGGATTATATCATTAATGGGATCAATGTCATAATTGGAATGGATGAAATTAACAGATTGAAGAGGCATTGCAATTGACAGTAATAATGTAAAATTTGCAATGTGCAGTAAATGTGCAAATGAGAAACAAGGATTATGAATGCTGTATGGTGGGTCTCTGTGAAATCAAAGATGAATTATTTTAAATTATTGATGAATTTGATGGTAAAAGAAAATCAACACTGGAAAGGCACTAGAAGCATGAACCTTCAGCATTAAAAATTTATAAAAATTCCATGCAGAAGGAGGAGTTTGAGAAGGAAGTGGAGAGGTGGATTAAATTAAGTATTGGAAGGCAAAGGTTGAAAATGGGGTGTTGCCACTGATGGCAGTAATTCAACCAATAAAGTATAAGTTACTGAACTTCAGGGAACTGTATGAATAGGTAACATGTCATACAGGTAGTATGTGTATCAATGTATGTGGTAAGACAATGTAAAAATGGAGGCACATGGTAGGTACTTCTACAATAGTAGACTTGAAGTCAGCATACTTTCAGCTATGCATAGTAGAAAAGTTGTGGAAATACCAGCTAGTAAAGTGTAATGGAAATAACTACTGCTTTGATGTGTCCAAAACCATGTTCAAAATAGTGTTGGAAAAGGAAGAGAAAATAGCAAGGTGACAAGCCATCTCAGGATGTATACTTTAGAGCTGAAAATTAAGTCAAACAAACACCAGTGTCAATTTGTTTTGTCTACTCAGTAACACTGATAACAGCATTGAATCACAGTGATATGGACTTCAACTGGTAGTAGTTGTCCAAATATCAAAGAGGGTCTGCTTATATTAATATTATAGATAAAGGAAATGTATCTCTGACATATCACCTGGATTTCCTACTGTCCTTTGATGCATCATTAAGATATTTAGAATTGTTTCAAGGTCTTCTTGAAAATTCCAATATTTTGGCATTTCTGTTCTAGCTGACATTTAATTGCTGTCAGCTCAGTTTTCATTTTGAGTGACAATACCTTTTTAAATTACCTGATATTTTGATATCAGTATTATTTTCTATTCCTTTTCTCTTTATTATATTATTTCCTATTTTTTCTATATTTTTACCATGGAATTCTCATTTTATCTGGGTTTATGGAAGAAGTATCAATCACACTCCAATCACATTTAATTCTTATTGTCACTCTTTTTCATTTTCCTTTTCTTAGGGGTATATTTCCCTCTTTCTTGGTATGTGCAGAGAGAACAAAGAAACCTCAGTGTATTTGAGTCAGTCAAATGTCCACATGTTTGCCTATGAGGATGAACTTCTCAACACCAATAACAGTATCAAGAAAAAGTTTGTAGGTGCAGTGACACTTCTAACCTGTTAATCAACCTCTTTATAATAGCTACCACTGCAAACTTAGGAAAACAATTGAAGTCAGACTTTACATCTTGTCACATCTATCCAGTCCATATTAGTTAAGATGAATTTTTTCTTGGTAAATAAGATGAAAATTGGTTGATATAATATACATTATCATGCAAACGTCTTTTGCAAATTTAAACTATTGTAAATTTTTAATAATTGTCAACTTATAAGTGGATATTCTCCATTGCAGTTTGCACAGGTGAAACATTGGCTCTACTTGAATCATTTACATACCTAATTATCATATTTTGTAGCCGAGGTGCTGCATGAGAGAAGATGCAAAGCAATCTCCAAAGATAGCCATGTAAAAGTTTTCAGATATTCAACTTTTTTGGTTTTCTTTTTTTTGATATGATTGCACTGGTAATATACAAATATTTTTTTGCAACAGCACCATTTTGGGGCTCCCCACCACCACCATAACTTACATATAGTTATAATTATATTATGTATCTTATGAAGATTTGTGATTGATTTGTAAGTATCTCTTTCCAGGTACATTGAAACTATTATTCAAACTAAGGTAACCAACATAAAATATCAACAATGTGCAGTAACTTCTTGAAATAGATGTTATTTAAGAAATTTTCATTTCTCTGCTTTTAAATGATATATCTGGCTTGGTTTATGTGAAGTGACAGAAAAACTGTTGCATAGCGATATCTGGGAGTTGTCTTGCATTTTCCCTTTCATTCAGAACCTCTGATAAAAAATATGATAATTAGATATAGAAAAACTTCTATAGGGCTGCTATTTTATCTACAGAATATGCAATGCAGAACATCCACTTATAAGATGTGAATGTTAGAATTTTACAATTGTTCAAAGTAGACAAAGACTTTTGAACTGCACTGTATATCATTTTTAGTATAAATTTTCATCAGTGACTTTCCTGATGACATTGGTTCTCAAATTGATATCTATGTTGATAAGATAACCATTTACTCCTGTCTCAATAGTATATCTGATCAGTTTGAGAAGGTCAAATTAGCAACTGATCTAAAAAAAAAACAAAAAAAAAAACCTATAGTCTGTTGTTAACTGGGGCAAGGAATGGCTTGTTAGTTTTAATGCCTCCAAAATGAAACTTCTCTCTATTAATCACCTGAAAGAATGCTTCCTGTCTCACATCAGCATGACTAATGCTAACCTCCATGATAGCTAGAGAAGGCACTTATTGTGCCTTCTCTGGCTATCATTTTCAGCTGACATGAAGTGGAAAGATTATATTGAATCCATTGCTAAGTCTGCTGCTATGAAAGTTGGTTCACTGTGTCATACTAGACAATTTTTCTCTCCAAAATCTATCATATATTTATAACTATACCATTCATCTATGCTTTGAATACTGCTGCCACATATGGTCTGGTGCTCCTGTTGTAGAGATTCTTGATAAAATCCAAAGAAGAATCTGCCATGTTATTGGTCTTGACCTGATGTCTTGGCTTCAGTCACTTTCCCAGTGTCATAAAGTTGTTTCCCTGTGCCTTTTCTATAAATACTTTCATGGTAATTGTTCAGATGAACTGTTCACTATGAATTTAAACACAGTACTAGATTGGTGGCAATTAACAGTTGAATTGGCTAATGTTACAAATAAGCCATTTGCAGCATCTTATTACTTTGGCAAAATGGCAGCAAGATTTACAAATCATATGGCTATTATTGTAGTGATAGAAAAATAAATAACAATGAGGCCTAAATTTCACCATCTCTAAAAATAGATGTATATTTAGAATTGCTAGGCCATGAAGTAATATTTCAATCAACCAATTAGAAGTTGTCCCAACCAGGATATGAACATTAAGTTTAGAGAGCGAATCAGCAAAAATATCTGTTCCAAAATAGGTTATAAGGGTACTGATCATGAACCAATCAGAAGTCAAGTGGCAGTTTCGAAGCAGATTTTTAGACATGCATATAATGAGATGGAAAGTCAACCCAAATCAGAATTGAATTAATTTTAACAATTTTCTGATGCTGTAGTCATTGTAAAATACCCAGGGCTGAAATATGACTCATGTGTGACATACAGTCTCACAAACTCATACAATACCTACCTCCTTCTACTACAGGTGACTAAAAGTCCACACAGTGCTGCATTGACACTAAACCATATATATTTCCTTCACCGATTTTAAGTAAGGCAGCTGCTACATTTGAATACATGCATGTATATGCATATATGTATCAGCTTTCTCCTGGACTCTTTCTCTCTTGTATGCACCAGGACATTTACATTTGAACTCTTGAACCTCCAACTTATTCCTCTATCCTTCTCTGTATATACTGTATTATATAAAAATTTATTTTGTATATATTAATGCTTTGTGCATTTTGCTTTAATTCATACACAAGGTCACATATCTATGGTGGCATTAGTTGTTGTCATAAGATAACCTCCACCACCCACCATATCATCTTAGCTCTATGCTCACCCACACAAATTAACATTTTGTAAGTGAATATTACAAAAATAAAAATTAGCCTTTGTTAAAAACTTGAAGATCACATTTAAGTTTTAACAATACAGAATTATTGTGGAACACATCTATGACATACATGTATTCTTTGAGGAAAAGAGAGACACTGTAGCTGCAATTAGAATAACAGGAGTGTGAGTTCAATACTTGGTTAAGGCAGTGGAGAACTTTCAGAGGGAAATTAACAGGAGATAACTGATAACTGACATCCATCAAACATGGCACGTGGAACTAGAACAGTCTACCCCAGTGAGCGAAATAAAGGCTTTAGTTTGACATTCCAACCACCTGAAGAAGGCCGGAGCGTACAACGGCCGAAACATTGTGATAAATATGGTGACAAAGATGAGGACAATAGTCCGAATAAATAATGTACATAGTACCTCATCTCAGAAATATAGACAGACTCCAAACCTGATAAGTTTCACAGATCAATGCAACTAGATCCTTTTCTGCTTTGGCTTCAATCTCTTCTGAATGAAATCCATTTAGAGTGACCCAAGGTACATATTGGTTGGGAGGATTTAAAACCTTTGTTTTTGCTGCCATCTCATGTTCATATTTCATACCAGCAGAACCATTAGCACATCTCATAAGATTATTATAGTCAAGATCATATTTCTGGCTCATCTAAAAAAGAAACAAAATAATGTGACTTTTCAGATTAAGATTACATAAAGTTTTTAAAAAGTATGCAAACCAAGTGTATGATGATGGAAAAGGAAGAGAAAATAGCAAGGTGACAAGCCATCTCAGGATGTATACTTTAGAGCTGAAAATTAAGTCAAACAAACACCAGTGTCAATTTGTTTTGTCTACTCAGTAACACTGATAACAGCATTATGATGATGAAACTATTGCTTTGTCACCTCATATTAATAAAAGTTCCCCTAAAAATTTTTCAATTTATTTTAAGTAAAATCCTGAATATTAACTTTTATTTTTTTTTTACAATGACTACCATGTTCTAAATGAAATCTTATTTTCTTTTAGGAAGAAAGTTTTGACTATTTTAGACAAAAAAATTATTACAATATTTCTTTGGGAGAATGGTTGAAGAACACATTTTCTATGTGCCATGTCCCTTCAGGTCGTGTGCCATCATGGCTCTCCTGTCCTTTGTAGCTCAATAAATTCCTATTTTTAATTGGTACTTGTCTGAATTCAATGTCTGATTTTGCAGGAGGAGCTTGTAATATACAATGCCTTCTCAATACAACAGCATCAACTTTTTTAGTTAACAGTGGATAATTTTGTCAGGATCTTCTCCATTCCATCTTGCATTGCATGTGTTCCTCTTTTGAAAAATGAATCATCTTTGTTGCGTTTGAGCAGAGAATTGCAGATAAAAACGCAGTTCATTAAATATTTTTCTGCTAAATCATGAGGCACCCAAAAATCATAGTAATTTATCTATACAAGTATTTTAAAATGGCTTATATGGGATGTTGAGAATCTCATATCATGTTTTTAATTAGCCTTTCAATTTGGTCGTCATCAGTTACTGCAGGCCAGTCAGAAGGTTCTCAGTCTCATAGATAAAAACTCCACTACTGAGCCATATACAAATAGTACTCTCTGCTATGACACCATCTTCATAAAGGCCACATATATTTTTGATGTTTGGAGAGCATATTTTCATTTTCAGAAATAAAAGCGTAGCAATTTACAACATTTTAACATTTAAAATTCAATCCATAGACAAATCATACAGAAAGATGTACATGTCATACATTTCAGTCACGTGTTAAACAAAATCACCATTAATATAAGAACAATCTAAAGAAGATGGAGACTGAAAATTTAAATATTTTAAATTCAACAGATAATTAATACATGGTTATGTCTTCCTAAAAATAAAAATAATACCAATCTTTTAAAAGAATAATGTCAAATAATGCACCAAATTCAATTAGCACAATTTGATGGAACATGACTATATAGAAACTTTCTCACTTCAAGCAAACTTCTTTTAGCATGTTTTCTGCCTTAATAACAACAAGGAGACTATGTAAGTGAAACTAACTAGAGCTCAAAGAAGATCAAACTAATACATTAACAATTTAGGTCACAACAGTAAAGCACAAAGATGAAACCTAACATCATGGGTCCACATAAAATAGTGGCTCAAGTTAAAAAATATTTTTTTAGAAATTCAATTTTTGGGTTTTCAGGGAGAAATTTGTATGGAAAATTTGGTAAAGCTGAATTTTGATGTATTGTACAATTTCATAATGTTTCTTGTGATAAAAACTCACAGCTTTTGTATAACTAGTATGGTTGAACCTGCACTGTAAAAATGTTTTTGATCTCTTATCAAAATAATATTATAAGTCAAGTTTCCTGAACATAAATTTTTTTCTCAAATTGTGGGACACTATTATTCAGTAATAGCACTGTAAACTACTCTTAATGTACACATACATTATGGCCCATTATTGTATCAATTTTGATTGAAAAAGATAAAAACCCAATCAACTAGTTAAATATACAAGAGGATAAAGCATGTGTATATTTTTTTCTGAATAGAAATGATTTTGGTTCAAATGAATATGTTCCCTCATTATGTGGTAGGTCAATTATACTATTTATAATCACAATGGCATCATTTGCAAATACTTTACAGCTTCTTTTGTTTCTGTTTCCACAGTTCTAGCTTTTTTTTTAGCTGACCTTTTTTCATTCAATTCCTATTCTTATTTGTTATTAAGCTGACTGGATTTTTCAAAGACTTTTAGCAATAACTGCTTCTTATAGTTCATTATTTCCTTCTTCTCTAGCAATATCTGACAGAAAATTACTGACAGTCTTGATAATTTCAACCAAATGCTCCTTTTCTTTCTCTTGCTGTTGCATAGAAGCAGAAAGAACAGATTCCTGCTGTAGCTGCTGCTGCCTTTTTTGCCTCAGCTGTAACTGATTTTGCATGTGCATTCCTGACAGAGTTTAGGAACTTCTTTGAGAGGATACTAGTTGAACCACCCCATCATGGATGGATGGAATTTTTGTAAAATTGGTGTTCCTTTTCCCATGGTAGTTGAGAAGGCCTTTATTTAAAGAAAAAAATCCTCTTTATGGAGCATAATTTTCATGAGATAAGGACAGTACACACTTGATCAGAGTTGAGGGTACAGGAAGTTTCAATCCTGGGAATGGATAGCCCCAATTTCCATTCAGTAATGATTGATCATTCTTGAACTGGAGATTGTATCAACAATTGGTTTAAGTCCCACTGACTCTAGAGCATATGGTCAATAAGAGGTGTGACTTTGGCAAAGCTTCCTCAGATGTCTTAGTAATAGAAATTGCTATATTTGAAATTGCATTTTTTAATGTAGGATCATTTCTCTTAAATGGATATATATATATATATATATATATATATACACTGTGCATGTTTAAATCAAGGCACATTATGGAGAAGGTGATCAAGCAAATACTGTGCAGCTATTTAGTAAAGATTAAGTACCTTATTTCTAGCACTGTTCAAAACTTTTATGGCAAAATGCTGTTTGTTCTCCACTGGTTTCTCATCATCACCAATGAACAAATGTTTTTGGGAAACAAATTTTGTCATTAGTCTCACAAATCTGAAATACTTGTATATAAAACATAAATCATGGGTATTTTGTATTGAAAAAAAAAAACTGCCTAAACATTTCAAAACACTGCACAACAAATGTTATAAAATCTTGGTAAATCTCTGCTTCTGGCTGATATAATTGACAATTCCAGGAAATCCTCTCACATGTTGTTAAAGATTTTTGGGACTTCTTCAGTAGCCACTCCATTAAATACATCTTCCCTTCCCATAGAGAAGTTGAACCAAGTCTAACACTAACATTCTTCATTGAAACCTATTAGAAACATTTTTATAAGAAAGTAATGTAAAATAATTAAAAGGTTGAGGGGGAGAATATACAAATTTATAAAGAGAAACTGTAAATTAAATGAAGGGTTAATAAAAAGATGACAATAAAAAAAATCAATGTAATAGACCAAGTTTCTTTATTACACTTGCTTTAGGAGAAGTATTTAAAATAATTAAAAGAAAACCAGATAGCTAGTAAAAAAACAACTAATAAATTTTACATGTAACATTTGTTCTTTAAACTTTAAAAAAATAGAATGGTTAAAAAACAACAACAAAAAAAAACTGCTAAAATAAAGTTGATCAAAAGTGAATGGTTTGTTATTTGTAAGATTTGATTTTCAAATTTCAGAATGAGATACACTTTGGGATTTTTTGACCAATGAGAAGATAATTTCCACCTAATCAAATTTCATACTGGGATTGAATCTAGAGCTTGTTTGAGATCATTTATGAAGCTTAAGGATTTTGGTGTTCATATGTGAATGACTGATAATGATGATGATGACAACAACACTGCCAATGATGATAAAGAGAAAGTAAGAAACAGATGAAAAAAAGACAGAAGCTGAAAAAAAAAAAGAAAAGATTCTTGAAATTAGGGGTTTCAACCCTAATTTTGAACTTTTTTTAAAAAAGAAAATTGTAGTTCATTTAAAAACTGAACTAATACAATTCTTGGAAATGCATTTAAATATGCCAACCATCTCAAAAGATTTCTTGACCGTTGTAAGTAATTGAAAAATTTATATAAACTTTTACGAATCCAGTAAAATGATAAGACTTAGTTGCCAATATAATAATATGCTTAAATTTATGCAGTTGGGATACCAAAGAAGAGAGCTCATTAGAACAACTGCCATGAAAATATTTATAGAAGAGAGAGAAACCATGTCACAGTGGTGGTTAAGTGACTGAAGTCGAGATGCCAGGTCAGGACCAATAACAAAATACTTTTTTGGGATTTTGTTGAGAATGTTTAGATATATAGTTGGAGCAGCAATATTTAATGTACAGATGAATGGCAGATTTATAAATGTGCAAGAAGGATTCTGATGTGAAGCAACAGGCCTAGCAACTGAGTCAATATAATGAATGTACATGTTAATGGAAAATGCAAGACTAAGAAGGCACAATAAGGTGATTTCTTGGAAAAGGCAAAAATAGTACTCTAAAATGATTAAAAGATACCTACTGATAAGATGTTATAAAATAAAATGACATATCTCGGCTGATTTACAGGCAAATACTCAAGAGCGAGAACCGGATGTGAACGGGGCAAAGCCCTGTCACAAAATGACCATTATCTTTCTTCACAAATGTTTCCGACACACGTGTTCCGGTCAAAAAATAAAATTATATTTAAAGTGCTCTATTTTTCGTCCAATAAAAATGCTTCCCTCCTAATTATACTCGCTTCGTTTCTCGAGCCTGTTAAGCCATAAAAAAACGCTATAAAAGGGGTCACAGGGAAGTTCAGCGGCAGTCAACAGGTGGCCACAAAGGAGACCGGTCACGTTTAGCAGCTGTCAGCAGGAGAGCGTCAACCACCCTCAACATGTGTGAACTACTATGAGAGATCGACCTAGATCCGAAAGCCGGCTTATGAACTTTACCACACCAAGGTAGCTGTCCTAAACCCTTACGTTCCTGTTGAAATAAACCACGTAAATCTATTTCTACTGTTGTCGTATTTCTTTCTTGCAACCATACGCTTGTCTATAACATAAGATGTTACAGTTATGAAATTTATAATAAACTTTAAAAATATTCACTATTATTATTATAAACCATAAAAGAAAAAGGCAAAGCCATTGACTTGTTTGTGTATAAAGGACTCCAGTGTGGTTATATGGTTGTTCATTATAGTTTATTTTAGCTTACCAAAAATACTTGAATAGAAAGTAAATTCTGTTTCCTGAAGTTCTGAGATTAAATAATGTTATTCAGATTATTATCTTGTTTTAATCAATATTTCAGCAAATTCAGTTATCCTCAGTTTAAACTGCATCTTTTAGAGTCTTATCTATATATTTTGGAAGCATTCTTAATATTATAGTATTGGCAGAATATTGATATAATAAAATTCAAATAGATGTTTCTAGATCAAGATTTACTGAGAAAAAACTGATGAGCACACCACCCAAAATGCTGTGTTGAAAACAAAATGTACTTGTCAAACTGAATAGTGATTAAGTACTTTATTGTAGAAAAAAAAAACAGGTCAACATGTAAACTTTCTAATAATCAACAGAATCATAATGAAAGATAGTTTGGTGTCTGTACTTACTATTTGTACACACTTGGTATCATCTCCATTTTTCATCAAACAGTGCTCGAGTCCATATATGAATGGTACAACATTGGTAGAGTTTTCAAATTTCTTTATTGCACATGCCTAATATGTGTCAGAAAGTAAAATTAAAATTGAACAGACAGAAAAATACTATTTTTGTGGCTAATAGATAAAAACATTATGTAAGTTTGTGAGAGTTTGGCCAGTCATAATACTGAATCTACTCAACAGATATGTGGTTACAAATTCTATACATGTATATCAATAAAACAACCAACTTATAATGAAGTAATTGGATGAGTAATACAATAAATAATATCAGCCAAAGCTGATTGGTCTTTACAAGTTTAGTGTAACTTCTAAAGACCAATATTTAATATGTAATGATTTTATACTTTTTTACAGCTATTTTCATCTGAATATATGCATGAAAGCCCAAAATGATCAGTTTACAAATAAGTCTTTATCACAATAAAACTTCAATTTTATTACATTTTTTTAAAAATGTTTTTCTTTTACTTATTAAATCACTATCCTAAGTCAGAGCCAGTTATTTTTTAATATGAGCTACATACTTCAAGAAGTTTCACAGCTAATAATCAGCAAGTGACAGAAAGTAGAAATTTCTATTCATGAGATATTTTTTATATTGATAGACTGTCTAGTCATTTTGATGTTTCACATGTGATTAAAATGCAATGCTGATCTCAAACAATTCTGAGCCTTTACAGGTGTACTTTCTTTCTTTGTGAGCATGTGTAAAAGAGGGTGAAATATAAGGAACTGCTGAAAAGTTCTTGGCCTATCTAAGAAAAGATTCCAATATAAATTGTGATGTTTGGTTAGGTTTTTGAAAGAGTCAGGCAGAACTTCCATGTAAATACATCTCTTGGCAAAGATTATGGAATTAATATACTTATAGGATGTTCACTTATATTTTTTTTTATTTAGCAGTAAATAAACTAGTAATAGATAAAATGCAAAACCTTTTTATTTAATAGCTGAACCATTTAAGTTCATGAAATACCTTGATCAAACTAGATTTAATTATTTAAATTAATGGTCTAATTTTTTTCAAAGCCATATAGAGGAAAATATGGAATAATCCAATGTTGAGGAATAAATTATGGAATGATCTTTAATTTCCATTTCTAAAACAAATACCAACAGAAGCCTAGATATACAGACCTTTCTACAGTTAAAAGAAAGTTCTTGCAGATCTCAACAAGTAGCTGGATATAACTGTTTGTCATTGGACTCATTTTTTCTCCTATGTGCAAGTTGTATCTTTTATTTTGTTAATCCTTTTCAATGTGTATTATGGGTAATGGACTGATGTTTGTTTTGAAACAGCCATTTCCCTGTATCATTGATTTAAAAGACTTCATACAATAAGCAAAGGACTATGTGCACTTAGTAAAACAAGATAGGTTAATTTATATAATAAATGCGAATGTCAGCGTGTCATTGTCACACTTGGAACTAGCTAAGTTTCAAAATAAGGTTAGTGATGACTGACTAATATCTTCCCTTCTCCAATTTTGGTCTTGTGCCAAATTTTCTATAAATAAATATTTGATTGAGCATGCCAAATTGAAAGGAAACAGAGCTCCAAAAAGACAATCCACAGTGGATTGTGGTGATTGATTGGTTGCTTATCAACCCTTTTTGGATTATTTAAAACCGAAACATACTTTGGATTCTAAGAATAATTCTTACATCACAAGTGAACATTGCATTAATAATATTTTTCAGAATAACAATGATTTTTCCAGATACAAGTTCTGCTATTTATCCCATAGCTGAGGGGAGGAGATGGATTCATACCTTTCCCAAGGATATTTGTGTTTAAGTGAATGAAGAAAAAGCGGGATATGAGATTCTGTCAAAACTGTTAATGTCATGTTAAGGGAGTGACGCGCCAGAATTCAGAAAGAAAAACAAAGCCAACCAACATATGCAGCCATAAAAAAAAAAATTTTGGCTTGAGATCACCACAGAGAATAGATATTAGTTATCTCTCATTTGGTGTGTGTTAGAATTCTGGCATGAGGAAGAAAATCCTATTATTATTGCTTATTCAAACTGTTGACATCAGACACAGTGTCGTCGAAAATGGGCATTTGGTGATAAGAGGATTTTAAGGCATGAGAAAAATAAAGAAATTGATTCTCAGGTAAAATACGGACATCCCAGCTAAAAGTTGACTTAGTAGAAGAAACCAGGTGTTGGGTTTTGACAGTGATTGATGAATCGGTAGAGAGAGCCAACTAAGTGAATTTTGGGTGTCCCCGAAACAAAGATGTGATAAGAATTATTTGGCAATCTGGGATTTGTAAATGTTTTGGCCGAAGAAAAAAAAAAGAAAAAAAGGATTTTGTAAACAAAATTCTGGATAATAATTTCAAGAGGGCCAGTCTAGCCACACCCACACTGTCGATCATTGGTCAAGTGGTAGCATGGGTGATAGGTAGAGGTGAATGTATGAGAATAGATGGAGAAGTTGTTAACACCCACTGAGGTGATTGGTATGAGATAGCAATGTGAGAGAGGAAGAGTCTAGGAGGATAACTCTCCTCCGACCTTCCTTCATAGACGAGGGAGAAACCCCCGAAATGGAAAGTGATTAATCTTCCAAAAATGAGGAGTAATTAATTTTCCTGGCCTAAGAAAAAAGAGAATTCTTGTTGGGAATTGAGAATTATCGGGAACCCAAACCATGTCAGGCCCCCACACCAGGTTTTGGTTGGTATCCATATAAAGAAATGTCTTGAGGCAGCTGAGAAGTTAGTCAGTTCCAGGAGTTCCAGCAGTTGATTTGCAGTTGCAGTCGGGTCATTGCCTCGCAGAAGCTGACCGAGATTTCTACGTCGTTTTCGACTTAGCCTTCCTACTAAAAGCAAGTTATATTGACGAACGACTTAAGATACCAAAACTTGCTTAAGAAACGCAAGTGTCATGAATCCATAGAAACGGGCTGGGAGAGAAACACGCTCCTGTATTCAACAGACGGATAAAGATAATTTGTTATTTCTCAACATATTTGAACCTCTTGAGTTTGTTTTATTGCTTCTTTTACTTACGCTTGTGTGATATCACTTTTACCCAGGATTCAGTTTGCACTACGGCCTGACGCCTGATTTTGTTTACCTAAGATCAAAGTCACAATGTGGGTAGGTAAGACTTGAGATTAAAGTAGTTACTTCGGTAATCAGACATTGGAAGTGATCTTTGAATGACAAAGCTGGTATCGAACCGGGAACGACCAGATCAACCAGGACACAGGCTGGTGGCAGTGACAAAGAGTCAACCCCAAAACGTTGATGGAAGAAACCTTACAGCTTCGCGCCGCAACTCGGAGTTGACCACTGGCTGACAGCGCAGTGTCACATATTGGCATCGTGACCAGAGGACGTCACATATTGGCGCTGTGACCGTGACCACCGATGTGTGTCACATATTGGTGCCGTGACCACAGGATTTGACCCTGAACTAACCACTGCCACAGGAGTTGCGGAGAATTTCGCCCAGGACAACACGCGGTGTCTAAAGTAGACAAATAGGAAACAGACTAGAGTGGGAACCAAAGGACTTTGGTTAATTATAACCATATGGTTCCAGACCCTCTAGTACGACAGCCTGGAACCAGAGAAGAACGAGCTGGAAATCGTCTGTCAGGTAGGACACTTTTTTCGGTTAATCTCCCAATTTTGATTGTTGCTGCTCTGATTGTTTTTCTTTTTTCTTGTGAAGTAGTTTAAATATGTCTGACCACAATTCAGATGGGGTAGACATGGAGGAAGAAGGGGTTGAGCAGGGATTGCCAGTGGATCTAAGGAAATTGTTGGGCGGACCGAGGGTTCCAGCCTTTGACGGTAGCTCAAAGAGTTTTAAGAACTGGCTGGCAATTCTAGATAAGAGCCGCGTGATATATGGACTCTCGGACCGAGAAACTCAATATTTGTCATATGATATCACCAGGGGGAAAGCGTCCGAGTTCATAAAGGGACTCTTAGCCCCACTTGACATGGGAAAAACTAGAAGTATTATTGAATCAGGAGTTCGCTGACAAGGGGACAGCGATAGAGGCCATGAGAGCCCTCCTGAAGATGACGCAGCTTAGGGACCCCCGGAGATTTAGGGGCCTGTGCGGAGAAGCTGTCATCATTAGCTTTCCCAGAGGAAGTGACAAATAATGTGGTGATGCAGGCCCAGTTGTCCGATTTGTATGTGGGAGTGCTCAGTGATGAGCGTATTTGCCATGATGTGATAAAGGAAGGACTGCTAAGGTTGTCAGCAGCAGTGGCGCTGGCCAAAGAGAGCCAGGGAGTTTGGGAGAAGGTAACGAAAGTTAGGAAGGCACAAGAGCAAAGTCGGGAGGTAGGAAGAAAGGGGGAAGGAGAGAGAGCCCCCGTGTGGAATCGGAAGGTCAAGCAAGAGGTGGAGGAGCCTGGGATGTGGGAAGAGGATCCCAAAAGAAAAGCTTGGTCGACAAGGCATGTGTTTTATAAGCCCACGCCGGCTTGATATGGGCTGGTCTGCTGGACATGTGGTTATGAGGACCACAGAGCAGCGAACTGCCCGACAAAGTGGGGATTGCCCCCAGACTTTGAGCAAGATAGGTGTACTAGGTATAGGAAGAAGGGACACCTAGCCAAGTGGTGTGGGTTAAAAAAAGGTGCTCCACTGATATTGTTAAAGAAGGCTGTGTCCGAAAGACAGAACCAGGAAAAAGCCAGCGGGCCACCCTGGAATTAAGAGGGAGGGTGGCCCAGTTAAAAAACAGGAACATAAAACGTCAGACATGTAGCCAGGAGAGCCACCCAGGTAGAGGGCAGGTCCTCCCAGAAATAAGAAGGAGAGTGTCCCAGTTAAAGAGAAGAAGCATAAAATGTTGGGTATGTGGTCAGGTGGGCCACTTTGCGGTCGGCTGCCCAACAGGAAGGTGCTGGTTTTGTAGAAGACCAGGGCACCTGAAGAGGAATTGTGATTCAAGAAACAGCAGAGAGTGACTGGGAAGGGTCCAGCTGGGACCACCCCGGTGGAGAAAATGAAGAACTCCCCTGTGTGAGGAGGATAATGGAAAGTTATTGCTGCCGGCA